TGATGACAGTGGAATGAGTCATGAGAGCCCAGAGGCTGGCACTTACCTCTTGTCTGACATATAGGTACTGCTTGGCTGAGCCCCAGTCTTGAGTCCCCCATTAGTAACAATGCGATACTACCCACCTTGCAGAGTGGCCAGGAAGATGAAATAAAGTGACACACATGGAGCATGAAATTGGTCTTTAACCCCTCTGTATGACTGTAAATTACTATCCTCCGAATGGGGTTTTCAATGTCAGATGGCTAGTTGGTCCTCTGCCCTGTTCAACATTACACCGATGCTTCAAATGAGACACACTGAACAGTGTGCATCCGATAAAGTAGAGTCCACAAATGACACGGTGGTCCGAGTCCTACTCAAAAGGTGATGCTCCAGACTGGATGTGGTACACCAGAACCCTCCAGACCAGAACAGGGATGATGTGTCATTGCCTGTTACCTGGTTAGAAATTCCCTGTGGAATGAAAATTCTCTGAGTAGACATCCAGTGAGCACCTACTATCTGTTAGGCACTGGAGAACAAAGGCACAGCTTATATTGAGGAGTCTAAGGCTCCAAGACAAGATGAACAAAGGAGGCTGTTTTAATACAAACTTGTGAGTACAATGTTCCTGTGTCTGGGGGTGGAAGGAGGAGGTAGTAGTAGAACACAGAACACAGAAATTAATCCAATTTGCAGAGGTGGGGGCTGTCAAGAGAGTCCCCGGAGAAGATGACGTCTGAGCGGAGGCTTAAAGGCTAAGCAGGAGTTGGGAGTGACAGAAATCTAGGCGGAAGGAATAGCATTTTCAAAGGCAGAGTCATGAGGCATGGCGCATGCAGTTGGTATTACTGTATAACATGAAGGGTCTGGATGGAATATGCTAGAGCAAAGAGACAGAGGCAGAGTGCCCAGAACTGGAATGACACAATCAGATATGGCTGCAGAAAGACAAGAATGAGCTTGCCAAGGATTACAGAGATCAGAGAGGGCACCCCTGGCAAGGGGGAAGACATTCCTGCAAGATAGTCTTGGGCAGAGACATGAAGGAGCAAAGCTGAGTAGAACTGTGGACTGCCTGGATATGGAAGGCAAGACAAGGAAGACCTGTGGCAAAAGAGAACTTGAGGGGGGAAGAAAGTTGTGCATTTCAGGAGAGGTGGTCGAAGATAAATTTGACTTTTTTGTCAGGTGGAGTTTGGACTATACAAGGACATTCACATTAAGTGACAATACAGAAGCCCATACAAATAGTCTGAGTTGAAGATAATGGTTTTCAGAGTCAACAGCACTATAAAATGTGACAGAATGAGGTGATTCCAGACTGGTTAAGTGAGAAATAGTAGTGAGTGGAGAAGAGACCCCTGAGAAACCAATGTCCAATAGGAACAAGATGAGATTGCAAGAACAAAGTCACCATGCAGTAGATAAGGGCTCACTTTACCTCAGTCAGAATGTCCTATGTAAGCAGCTAAGTCCCCTCATCTGAGTACTGAATCATTTTTAAAAGGCCACAAACATAGCCAGGAAGAGGTAAGTGACCATGAGGAAAGGTGCCCTTCACCATGGGACTGTTATCAGGGAACACCCTGCTACCACTTGAGGCCAGGTGTTACAACCTCTGCCAGAGTCACCCAGATGAAGAAACACCCCAGCCACTGTGCCCAGAAGAGCCCCAGTGTAGGATGGTCTTGTCCCATACCACTTAACTGAAGGTTCACCTTCAGACACCCGGGCTCAACTGTACCATGAGTGAGATCCAAGGGAGACTTCTGTGCAAAAGAATCAATGAAATGAAGATGGAGTCCAAAAAAGAAAAAAGTAAGAATAATCTTTATTACTTGGAGACACATTGTAAAAATGTTAGCAGTTAAGATGAAGAGACCAGAACACATTTATTCAGATGCAGTACATACCCTGGGGATCAGAACACACCCGTAAACAAGCATCGGGGTGCTGATAAGAGGGCGGTCCACTCCCCTGTGCAAGTGTGCAGAGGACTCCTTCCCCAAGAGACTTTTGTAGAACCAAAAAGGCCAGTTTCAAGAGAAGATGTTAACACATGTCCAAGGGTTTAAAAGGAACCAAATTATAATCACACATATCCAAGTGACATGAAATTAACTGAATTGCACAAAACACAAAAGAAAGAGCATCCTGGGGCTGCCTATGAAGAGAAAAAGGTTTGATGCACTACTTGAAATGGCATAAATAAATATTTTGGTACAAGTTTCACCCTAAAAGACAACATGTTGCTTTGGAGTTCTACAGAAGGAAGGGGCCACATGCAACAACTGCTTTGGCACAGCCTCCAGAAACCTGGCAGGCTCTCATGTGTACCCTAACTTCATTTCGACTGCATGCTGCTCCTCGAAGAAGTTAAATCTCAGTGAAACCCAGCCTCAAATCCTGACAGTACTCACAATGACATCTTCTGAAATCATACAGGTTAGCAGCACCAATCATTAAGGCATTACAAATCATTCTCACATTTGAGAAGTAAACTCTAGTGAAACGTGCTATGCAGTTAGTGATTAGCACTGAGGCTCAAATCCACACCTGCTAACCCACTGAAAGGTGCAAATTCCAAGTCTCCCTGTATTGATGTAAATATCTGATGAGTTTTATAATCTTTATTGAGCTTCTGTTACAGAAGGGGTATTACGGTTGTCTTTATGGGAAGTTAGTCTGAATGCATGTTTTCAGCGCAGATGAGAAGTTAAATTTTAATCAATCACAGAACAGAAAGGACCTTGGAGATCACTTAATCCAGTCCATTATTTTCAGGAAGGAAATGAAACCAATGAAAAGGGAATAACCTAGCCAAGGTCACACTGAAATGGAGGCCGAACCTAGGCAGTCTCCAAACCTACAACAGTACTATGTGCCAAGCTATTTTCCCAAACTTTCTGTTTGTTGGTTTGCTTTCTGTGGCCCCACTGGTTAAACATGATTATCAGCTACATAGCATGATGATAGAAACTTTCACTTCAGTTTTAAAATCAGAATATCAAAATGATTCCTGAGCCTTTAGCTACCTTCATTTTATTGAGAATGCAGTCCACAGTAAATCATGACTATCTATGCCAGTTATCTTCAAATGTTGACATGAACACTAAAAGCACTACTTAACAACACTTGTGCAAGCACGTCCATGCGACACCAGGATGCGTCTCATGGAATGCAATGCGTGGAATGCAATGGCACCATGGTAGTGACTGGAAGGAAGGCGCTTCAGTTTCTCAAAGTGCAGTCATGAGTTTGTCCCGGTACGTGACACTGTAGGCCCCTCCTAAGTTCCTCTGGTTCTGGTCGTGGACATAGTCAAAGTGGCCGTCCTCTCCACTGGCTGAGGCTTTCCAGTGTGGCCTGTCATCCTGAAAAGATGGCCTGTTTTGTTTGCAGATGGAATGGTTACTGGGAGAATGGAAGACAATTCAGAAAGGAACGAGGCCAACCACCGCACCCACAGAGAAAATGGGGGAAAGAGCAAGTGGGGTGGCTGGCACGTGAGTGGCCTGGTGACTTCAGGATTTTAAAAACTCTTGGGTGATCATCAACCAACTTTGATGCTGATAAAAGCTCTGTTTCTGGCCAAGTCATGATTTTGCAAGGGGTATATGGTGGTCGGGTCAGTCCAAGGAAAGCTAGCTGAGGGGAAAGCCTCCTTAAACCAGATGTGCACCGTGACGGTTTTGGGGGGCATCTGCCCCAAGTGTGGACCAGTCAGCTCTCCTCAGGATGCAACTCTAGTGAGCTCTAGAACACAGACAGTGCTGGGTGCCACCTGGGTTCAGCTACAGATCTGGAATGCAGCTGAGTCGTGGTTCACAGGGGACCCATCAGCAGGGTCACCTCAGAGGGAAAGTGTTGCCTCTGGGCAAAGGCGAGGCTAGGGCAGGGATGCTACAGAGGTAAAACACTCTGACAAAATAAGCACTACTAGATAGACCATGTCTGCTTAAATCACTGGTAACAGGACAATGGCTTAAACCACTGTTTTCAGGACAATGGCCCTTCTAAGCCTCAGCTACCTGTCATGTCTGACAAATAAACTATATTTGAACCATGCAAAGATTTAGAATTACCACCCCATTGGCCTGACTTGCCTTAAAATGCTACATGAATATCCAAGTGTTAATAATGTTAGACGGCATTACGATGCTACAAGGGCCCTGACAAATGTTTACCTAACTTGCTCAAGGCACATTTGCTCGCCCCACTCCAATTTTCCATGCTCCCTCTAGGAGCAAGGCCCACAGCTCCACCTTGGTCAACCTGAATTCACCAACTGTGCTTCTGAAATAGCTAGACACATAACTGCCAATTAACACTCATCAAATAGGCAAATCTTAAGGACTTGTCTGTTCCCCAGGGGTCACCCTGACTCCAAATAGCACGACAGGTACCAGGTCACTCATAGGGCAGTTGCAGGAGACACTGACAGCCTTGGGGCCAAACCCCACTTTTTTGTAAATTAAGTTTCACTGGAATATGGTCACGCGTTCTTATGCACGTCCTCACTGCTTCTTGTTGTCAACAGACAATGACCACAAAGCTGAAAATGTAGACTCTCCTTTGCTGAAAAAGTTTAATAATCCCCAAGTAGGAGAAAAAAGGCCCACTGCCACCAAAGCAAACAGTGCCTTCATTCCTAAGGGGTGAAAGCCCTCTTAAAAAAAAGGACCATAATCTCCAAGCTTTAATCACATTCCAAGAAAATAAATTCTCAGAATAAGAAAATGTTAACATGGAAATCTTAAGCACCATCTCTGATATAAAACCAAACCAAAATATTTTGAGGTTAGAGGGGTTTTTTTGTTGTTATTTTGTTTTGTTTTATTTTTAATCCGTTATTTCACAAAGACTGGTGGTCACTTGCTTCCTTTGCTTTGAAAAGCATCGGTTTCTGCCCTGGTCATGCCACCCTGAGGGGTTTGTTCCTGCAGCCTAGAGTGGGGACTTTCAGGGGACAAGAAAACTTCTCAAAGCAGGGCTCCATAAGCTCACAAACTCACCTGACATTTGGAGAGTGAGGGCGCCACCGGGGCTGGCTAGGGTGGACGTTGGGATGGTATTGAGGCTGGAAAGGAAACACCAAACTTGATTACTCAGTGACCTTTGGATTTCAATGGTTGCCATGTCATTTGCTTTCTCTTGCAATGGTACCCACCTGGGGAGGAGAGGGGACTGTGAACAGGAAAGCTGTAACCAAGCCCTGGGGGGAGGGGGGACAGCTGGACCTTTCCCAGGATGATCTTGTTTCTCCCACTAACAAAGGCTGGGGGTTGGGGGGCTGGAGCCCAGTGTCTGGCTCACCAAAAACCATCTCTAGAGAAGAGGCTGGGAGGCAAAGTGCCACATCTGACTCAAAGGAGGCTACCCAGCATGCCCTAGTCAGATAACACCTTTCTCTCAAGGAAGCAAGTGTCAGGAAGATGGGGGTGAGTGGTTTCTCTCTTCAGAAGCCACTTTTGTTGGTTTTAAAATGACAGCAGGCCTGGTAACAGCTGAGTTAGGATGGCACACAGACAAGGGCTGGAAGGACAGGGTAATGAAAGCACGGGGTGGGTGTATAAATGGTAGCATCCTCAGGAAGACCTACTGTTCCGATGAGACTGGAGAGATGCACTGATGGACTGAAAGAAGGAGGGTGGGAAGCTGTTCATAAGAAGATAAGAAAGTAGACCAGTTTGAAGCCAGGATGGGCCTGGCAGGGTAGCCAGCTGCCATCCCACTTCTCACCTGCAGAGGGCAGAAGCCCTGGACACTGTCAGAAGACAAGCGGCTTCTCAAGGCTAAACTAGCTTTGGAGCAAATTTGACACACACACACACACACACACACACCCGCCCCCGTACCTCCTGCCGGTCAACCACCCCCAACCTAAAAGTCACTGCAATCACACCACCATTAATCTTTTAATTATTTCTTCCCTTCCCCTTCTTTACTCCTGCTGCTGTGGTTAATAAGCAGTGGCCTGCTTTCTGTTACAGAAATCCTCAGCAATTCTGTTCATCCAATTTTCATGGCCCTGAGATGCTTTCATGCTGCCTATTCTATATTCCAGTAGCCTTTCTTTTCTTCTTCAAAGAGCCTGTCAGCAAGCTGAGACTGCACTCCCAGAGGACATGGTATGGGGAGCAGAATCTATAGGGGTAGGATCTGAGCACTGGCGTGGTGCAATCTCCTCAGCCTGGTCTCTTTTAGGGGATACTGAAGCCCACGGGGTTCAGGTGATTTTCCCAAAGCCAGTCACTCCCAGGCTCCCTGCATTGAGTCTCCAACAAAGAAGAAAGATTACCCTACAAATGAACGCTCTAGTCTTTTCTGTTTTTAAATATACCCAGGTTCACCAAAGAGGTAGAGACCTCATCCACAGCCTTGAAAAAAGGTAGATTCCATTACCTTCCTTGGTATAATCCCCTCTGGTAATTAATTCACGTTCTACAGTCTCAAATACTCATTAACTCAGGTGCTCCATTAATAGTGAGGAATATATGTGTATCTCTTTGCTTGTCACAATAACAGAAAAAAAAGGGGGGAGGGAAATTTACTGGAATTTCCATGACAATGAGGAACTGTCCCACCTCAAATGACAAGTGTCCTCACTGAAAACATGGCCACCCATCCTCTGCAGCTGGCTGACTCTGCAGAATGAGCTAATGCTGCCATGTCACCTTCCCGACAGTCCTTCACAGCATCATGATGTGATCAGGCCACTTATACCCAAACTTGGATGGGGCAACACAGGGCCACTAAGAGTACAAGGGGCTCCCACTGACAATGTGGACATATCCATGTCTGGAGTGGCAGCAGATCTGCTGTGAACAGGCACAGCCCCGGTTCACTGTAAGCAGGATGCTCTGAGGAGGCAGAAGAGGGCAAGGGTCATGGCAGGCTAGCTGCTTTACTTTGTTTTCATTCTCTCTCCTCCAAGCACTGGATGCCCAGCAGCAGCTTCTCTCTCCCTACAACAGTCCAGTTGCATCTGACATCCCTGAACAAAAAGCAGTTTGTGAATAAGAAGCCTGAGACCCTAAGGAAGATGACAGGGGAAATGATTTTCCTTCCAGCAGCTTCTAAGTCCCTTCGACCCAAAAGCCCCATTTTCTTACTCTTCATGCTAGGAGAGTGACTTCATGCACAGAAGTTGTTCAGAAACCATCTGGGAACCTCCTAAGAATAACAAACATGGGCATCTTGGTCAACTATAGAAGTGGTTTCTACCACAATGAAAGACCAGGGAAGGGGACAATTAAAATAAAGTTTCAAGGGCTGGAGAGATGGCTCAGAGGTTAGGAGCACTGACTGCTCTTCCAGAGGTCCTGAGTTCAATTCCCAGAAACCACATGGTGGCTCATAACCATCCGTTATGAGATCCAGTGCCCTCTTCTGGTGTGCAGATATACATGGAAGCAGAATGTTGTATACATAATAAATAAATAAAATCTTTAAAAAAAAAGAATAAAGTTTCAAACTGAAATTGTTTGTGGAACAGCATTGTCACTTGTGACACCCATAGCCAAACATCAGGGCACAGACACTGGGAGGACAGCATGCCTTAGGCACTTGCCCAGGACATGGTTGGTCAACAAGGTGATGCTATGGGAGGTGACTGGGTCTTTGGGTCTCTGAGGGACCCTGGTTAGTTCTCCTGAGAAAAGCGGTACAGCCCCCCTCCCCAACCCCGTCTTGCCCTGGCCCCCATCTCACCATGTAATTTCTTCCTCCACATACACTCCTCTGCTCTTATGCTAGAAATCCCTTACCAGAGCTGAATGAAGGCTAGTACTACACTTTTGACCCCTCAAAGCCATGAATTAAATGACCTTTATTTTATTTGATAAAGTGCACAGTTATGGGTATTCAGTCATAGCAATAGAAGGGGGAAAAAAGACTAACATAGGGTTCCAAGTTAGAAGTCAGCAGACATGGGTTTCTGCCTTCAAGCAGAAACAAATGGCTGCCTGGGATGCAAAGTCCATGACATCCTCCCAGAGTCCCTATCTGTAGGTTCCTTAGGATCTCTGAGATCTAGAGATGACAAGTTCCTACTCCTTAAGTTTCTGTCCAACTTTTAAGGGGTGAGACTGAAACGCTGCTTGTTCCTTTAATGCTGACCACATGGTTTTAGTGCTCAGGGCTAAATTCCGGTGGATCTGGGAGCTTCCAATTTACAAGAAAAAAGGAGGAGGGGACTGCAGGAGTACGAATGGGAAAGACACTGGAGCAAGCAGACAAGGGGCAAAGGACTCCAGGCAGATGAGCGCAGGCAAGGCAGCACCAGCAAGAACCTAAAGGCAACTACTGTACAGCTCCTGGACTGTACACAAGCTGAACACAGGCTCGTGTCAGGAACAGTGGGAAGGGACATAAGAAGTCAGGACAGGCTGTGGAAGCCCAGAGAGGGCAACCAACAGCAGCTGTGGAGAGGCTGGCTCACTCACTGGGCTGCCAAGAAGGCTTTGGCAGTAGTGGGTGGGCAGGTAGGAGGCATGGGCCCTGGTTGGCACTGCTGTGAAATAACACAACACTGGATATGGAACTGAACACAATAGGTCTGGTGTTTGACAAATAGGTTCAAGGTAAATGATGTCTCCATTGGCGTGAATGGGTTTACCATGAAAAGGGTTGGGGGAGAAGGACCAACAAAAACAAAGCAAAACAAACAAACAAACAAATCTACAGAGTGTGGTGGTGACACCTTTAATCCCAGCACATGAGGGGAAGAGGCAGGTGGATCTCTGTGAGTTAAAGACTAGAACTCACTGCTCTACACAGAGCCAGATCCTGTCTCAAAAACAAAACAAAACAAACAAAAATGTCCTTCCTGCAAGTCTCTTTAGTCCTTTGGCACCCCAGCAGTCACAGTCAAGCCCAAGAAGACAAACTAAGAAGAAGCAGAACCTACCATCTGGATGCCTGTCTCAGGGCTCGAGTTCACTAAGTCCACACAAGCACTTGCATTCACCAGGCCCATGGCATGTTTTCACAAAAGCATGCCCTTGAGTGGCACTGGGAGTCTGTGCCTGACCAACAGAAACATCACTGCATGCCTCTGGCACTTGCAGGTTAACAAGGTTACAAATGTGCACTTCACATGACTGGGAGGGAACAGGGGTCAGGGCGGGAGGATTTGTCCTTTAGAGTTTTTTGGAAAACAACAAGAGGAATGAACCAAAACCTGATAAGAGTATGTTGTCACTACATACTGTTCATTGTGCAAAATTCAGAAACTTTAAGAAACATCTCAAACACAGCATCTCACCTGGTAATTATGGACTTCAGGATTTGTTTTAGAGCTAAAAAGAAGAAGAGAAAACATCATTTTACCAGTTTTAGGAGGCATTATGATGGACATATTTAACAGTCATAACTAATCCTACAACCCCCCTGATCCATTAGTAATGGCTCCACATTGGTTGCTAGAGCT